AACAGGACTAGTTTTCCCCTCTCTCACCTTGCTGGTTCTCCACTTGTGTCCTGTGGTTGGGCAATGGCACCGCATTCCCTGCTGTGGTCCAAGCCTGAAACCTGGAGCCCCCTCTCTCCACCATGCCTCACAAGTTCATCACACCCTCAGGATTCTACTGTTAAATATCTGTCAGGTAGCCCCCAGTTTTCTCTTTGCTCAACTGCTGAGCCACCCAAATGTCCCTAGACTCATTAAATTGATCTCCCTTCCCATTTGAGCTGTGGTTTGCACTTTTGGTTGCCCATAAAAATCATTCAGAAAACTTTAAAAAACTTTTCAGTGCTCAGGCCTCACACTAGAGCAGTTAGAAAATAGGAATGACAGCCCACGGAGCTCCTCATGTGAAGGCCTTCCTGAATCTTCTTGGCCTCTCATCACTTCTTTTGAGCCTCACCTGTGAAATCTAGACCTACTTTTATCATAGCATGTAATACTGGTTTTATATTTATTTACATGTTTCTCTTAGACTATAAATTCCTTGAGAGCAAGAGGCTCTCTTACCCTTCATGGTACTTCTAGCATCTGGCACACAGTAGTCTCCTCCATAAAAATTTGTTGAGAACCTAAAAGCATAAGTGAAGCAGAGAATAAACCATTTCCATCTCTGGTTTCCTGGTTCTTTACCTTCCTTCTTGGCTGTGCTCTTATTTTTCACTGCTCTTGTTTTGTTTCCATTTACTGGCCCTTCTTCCTCAGCCTGTTTCTGAAATAGCAAAACTGCCCTCAGCCCTGCCCTTTGCCTTCTGCCCTGGGGATCTCATCTATGCACATGGGTTCCTCTCTCTCCATCTGCTGAAGCTTCCAGAACCACACTTCCAGCCCCCACCTCTCTGCTGAGATCCAGAGTCTTTTCCTTCTGCTCTGGGTACAGTGCCATGGTTGAGAGCCTGGCTCTGCCTCAAAGGCTGCAAGAACAGGCTTAGTTTCCAGCTCAACCACCTTTTCTCCAAATTGCTTAAGGTCTTGATTTTCCTCATTGGTGAATTATGGATGATGGATGGCATCCAGTTTGTAGGGTTATTTTGAGGATTATGTGGAACTGTATTTAAAGCTCGCAACACAGGGCTTGGCTGGCACAAAGTAAGTGCTCAAGAGTTGTTAGGTACTTTTACCAGACAGCTCTCCCTGAAGGTTCTGCAGATCCCCTACATTGTCTGAGAACAGAACCCATCCCTTGGACACCTCTTTTCTATTTCCAAAACTTCTGACATCCTCTGTAGGTAATGCTAGAACCAGTGGGACCTTGGCTGACACAGATGTGATTTAGGGCTGGGAAGGGCCTTCAGGGGGCCCTTGGCATCTCCACAACCCTCAGCATCTCTCAGCCACATGGTTACAACTGCCCCCCTTCCCACCAGGCTCACCCTCTCATCTGAACTCGATGTGATCGGCTTTTGCCAGAGTGATTTTTGTAAAACACAAAGTAAGTTGGATGACGTCACCACTTTCCTCCATCTGCTCCCTCCAGTCTCTCAGTGGTGAGATAAGGCTCAGAGCCCTTCATGTGGCAAATTAAGTTTATCATTATTTGGTCTCTGGACCAAATGTATCCCACTTGCCCCTGTGGTATACCTTGCTGCTCCCTGCCTTGGGTACCTGCTGTTCCTTCTCTGGAAATACCTTAATTTCTTGCCCTTCACTGCACTAGGGCATGCTTTGCTCCTTCTACAGCTCACGACCCACCTAGAGCACTTAATGAACTCGAAGATAACTATTAATCTTCTGTACTCTCCCATTTTTCACCCCTCTTCCCCAGCTGGTGAGCTCATTGATAGTAGGCAACTTTTAATTTTTTTCAGTGTAGCTTTATTTCCTGGGCTCAGCCCAAGGCCTTGCAAAGAATAGGAACCCACTGATTTATGAAGGCATGGACATTGGAATTTAGGAAACAGCATAATTAGTTTGTATCTTGGCTCTATTTATTTTATGGACTCCCTTGCAACTTGAGTGTCTTGTGTGATGCTTTGTGTGAGAAGCTGCAGCGTGTGGTAACAGGTCTTGGGAGCAGGAGCTGTCCTATACTGTATATTCTCTTCTGTGATTTAAGTTGTGTGTACAAATCCACTTAGCAGACATTCCTTTGGGCACCTCCTTTGTACCAGGCACTGGGTAAGGCATAGAAGCAGATGGTGGTAATACTACAATAATACTTTTAATTATTCTGTCCCTCCTCTACTCTGCACCTAAGTTAGCTCATGAGACCAGCATGTTACTAAATAGGAGTAAACAGAGGCTCATATTCAAAACACCTTTTCTAAAAAAAAAATAATAATAATAATAAATAAATAAATAAATAAATAAATAAAATACCTTTTCTGAGACTACAGCAAATACGTGAGATGTGGTATTTGAACCCAGGTTTGCCTGATTTCTGTGCCCACTGCTCCTTTCAGTAACCCGTAATACCTCCTAGGTACCAAATGTGGAGAGCCCTCTGTCTCTGAGGTGCTAGATATGCATTATTTGGATTTAATTCTCCTCTGCAAGGCATTATCCCCATTTTTCTGGAGAAGAAATGGGCTCAAGAAAGTCAAGTAACCTGGGTAGGATTGCCCAGAATGGTGAGAGGTAATCACTCGGGTCCGCTGGACCCTCAGGCCCGCTCCTGGACACTCAGCCTGTGGCATGGTCTAGCCAGGGGCCAAAGCTGTTTGTAACAGGTTCACCGTGGTAAGTGCAGGCATATGGGCAAGGCCAAGGGCTTCAGTGAGGGAGGGATGGGCACAGCTGTTTAGCTGGTATGTTCCAAATGTTCTGACGATGTCAGTATTATGCTGGTAAGTCATTCATTCATTCATTCATTCATTCATTTGTCAAATACTTTGGAGCCCTTTGATTTGTTAGACATACCAGTGGCAACTGATAGAGACATAGGAGAGACAAAGGATTTTTAAAAAGAGCTCCTTGTCTTTTTAGGAGAAGGAGATAGAAGGATGAGACACAGAGACAAATGGCTGCATCAGACTTAACTGCCATAACAGAGCTTGTCACCAGTGCTGTCACCAGTGTGGACCTAAGCTCGCAGCTCGCCCTAGGGCGCCATGAGTCCACCCCATCCAGCCTCCTTCCCAGGCTTGCGAGGCCCTCCGGGACCTGTCCTGCCAACCTCTCTCACCTTCTGTGCTTCTACCCTACACGCTTACTTTTGGTTCTCAAGGTGACTAAATTCGCTCCTGTCCCGACCACAGGGCCTTTGCCCCTGCTGATCCCCCTGGGGATCACCGTCTTCTCTCTACTACTCTGAATCCTGCCCTTCCAGGGCAGCTTTTCCTGATGGTCCTCCCCATTCACTCATGTCGCATCGTCCTGTCCTCTCTCTGCTCCCAGCACTAATTACGATCTTCAGAGCATGGGTACCAGTCTCAGTTCTGCCGTTTTACTGGCTAGGTAACCTTGGACAGGTTATTTAACCTTTCTGCATCTCAGTTTTGTCATCTGAAAATGCGGGTGAAAACAGTGCTGCTCCTACCTCACAGTGCATTGCTATGGAGCTTCACTGAGCTTCTGTACGGAAGGCACCAGTAGCCTGGGGTGGGGGCGCCCGGGTGGCTCAGTCGGTTAGGCCTCTGCCTTCAGCTCAGGTCATGATCCCAGGGTCCTGGGATGAAGCCTGGACCTGCTCCCTGCTCAGCAGGATGTCTGCTTCTCTCTCTCCCCTCCCTGTGTGTGCTTGCACCCTCTCTCTAGCTCTCACTCTCAAGTAAAGAAATAAAATCTTAAAAAAAAAATAGTGCCTGGTACATAGGAGCTATGTGATGAACACAAAATACGTGAATCTTCTCGTTGTCCAGTACTTAACTGGGTTTGACTCCAGAGATCAGGCCCCAGCCTCTGCCTGCAGGAGCGTATGGCCTGCCTGCACCACTTCCCCTGATGACACACACATGCATTTGACTTGTAGCATTTTGCCTGGAGGTCATTCTCCCTCTTTGTTCTCATTTCTATCCTCCTGGTGCCCTGCTTCCTGCCTCAGGATCCCCAGCACCCACAGATCCTGCCTTTCCATGGCTTGAGAGAGAATAATAGCTAAAGGCCCAACTCTCGGTTTCGCCATGTTCTGTGGATGTCGAAATCACTGGAACTGCCTGTTCCCCCCCAAATCTGCCTGCTTTCTCCTTGCCTAGATTTCACTTCCTCTCAGAACTCCCTGACTTCCCAGGTTGTAGGCCCTGGAGTAGACCTTGGCTCACATTTTCCATCGCCTGGAACTGTCTACACTGCTACCTCCCCTCCCAGTCTGCATGTGCCATAGGGCCCCGGCCATCTCTTTTGTCTTCGCCATGGTATCCTCAACCCCCCAGTACCTTCTTACTGTTAACGAGTAGTGTTCTTTATGGCCATAATGAACTTGGGTAAAAGACATGGATCCATAAAGCAGGTAAATCAGGACACAGTGGTTTGTGTCACAAAAAGTCTATACACTTTATAAGAGGATTTTTTGCAGGGTTCCATTGAGTAGGAAGGAAGTCCAGGGGTATTGCTATTAAAACACATCTCTGTGGCTTTATGCACACAGAGACACATGCACATATACATACACTTTCTTGAGTATGTTACAGTCATTGCAAGTGTTCAATGAGTAGCCTTTCAAATCTTGTGGCTCCACCATCCTTTATGCCCTTGGGGTCCTCTGCTGGGCCCTCTGCAGCTGGCTGGAAGATGGGGAAGGAGAGAGAGAAGAGCATCACTCAAGGGGCTTTCTTCTGGGTCTACCTGGAAATGGCACATATCACTTCCTGTCCCAAGGACTGGAACTCAGTTCCACAGCTGCACCAACTGCCAAGGAAGCTGGGGAAAGCGGTCTAGCTGTGTGCCCAGGAGGAAAGGGAAAAGACGTTTTGGTGGACAAAGGGCAGTCTCTGCGCCTGGGAGCATACGGGAGCCAGGCGGCCTCTGTCTACCTGCAGAGGGTCCCAGTAGAAAGGAAAGGCACTGATTTTCTGTTTTGATTTTTGTAGACAAACACATGTGATCAAAATCTCTGTCAATGCCTTGAGTTCATCGAACAAATTTCCAAAGTGCAAGGACAGCTCTTTAGGATCCTCACCGCTGCAGCCCAAGAAGGTGAGAAGGGCCTGTGCTTTCCCGTCCGGCTCTCCCTTCTTTTAGTTTTGTTCTTTGTGCTTTCACACTGTGTGGCTGAACTTCTCTCCCTGCCCCGATTTGTGGGTTCTTTTAGGCGGTCATTATGATGGTGTGGAAATAATCAAATCGCGCCTACTGCCTTGGCTGGAAGCCTCCTTTACTGCAGCTTCCGTGGGAAAACCTGTTGACAGCAAGGTCCCCTCTCTGCAGGTAGGGATGCTCAAGGATCACCCTTGACTTTCAGCAACCCAATCTGGCTCCAGGAACATATCTAAGATAATGGCTTTTACCCTACTGAGGGACTCTGCTCTACTTGGGGAACGGGGACATAGGTACACAAGGTGAGTTTCTGGGTGCAGTACTATGTGGCACAATGGCTTGAGCTTTGTCTTCAGACAGACCTATGTTCAACTCTCAGCTTTGTCTCTTTCCCAGGGTATGACCTGAGGCAAATCAGTGAACCTCTGCTGTAAGAAGGCCCTGGTGATGTTCCACATCTGGGACATTGCCCACCCTAGGCACTAAATAGGAGCTTTGGAATGACAGAGTAGGCACACAGACACTTACGGTACCATGGGGCTGCAGAAAGAGACCATGAGGTGGGGGAAACCTCCATATTCTGAAAGAATGAAGTGAAACTAATTGAAAACTTCTTTTTTTTAAAATATATTTTTTATTGAAGTTCGACTTGCCAACGTATAGTATAACACCCAGTGGAAACTTAGTTCTTAGAGACTGACAAAGAGTATCCTCACTTGCAGTTGATAGGGGGGTGATTTCTGTGCAATGGTGTCAGCTTTTAGACAGTTGAAGCCCAGACTGGAAGGAGAACACACACCTTGCTTAAGGCATTAACATCTCTAAACATTGGTAACCTTGATTTTAAACATTTATGTGGATTTACATGAATTCTTTTCTAAAATTAAGGCACGTAGAGCAGTCTTTTCTTAGCAGCCTTAGGGGGCAGGGGCAGAAGGGTTCCTGCTTGGAGGTCATGGGGCAAAATTCTTGTCACTCTTCTAGGGTTCTGGGTAGGTTGTCTCGCTTGCTGAGTGGAGGCAATGCTTTTGTTGACCCAATAGGGCCATTTTGAGCATTAAATGTGATAAACGTGCAGGAACAACTAACATAAGGTAAGTACTCCATAGATAGCAGTTGTTTCTAAGCAAATTTTTCTTCCTTGGGTATTTTCACATGCTGCTTAGATTTTTACCCTGTGGATGCTATTCTGAGTATGAAGATATGATATTCCAATGGCTTTTAAAAAAATGACGTACCATAAAAAATTGAGGTATCATTTACTTGCAGTGAAATCCATAGGTTGATGATATCCATGTAACCCACACCCTATTAAGTTCTAAAACATTTCCATCTCTCCAGAACATTTCCTGTGTCACTTCCCAGTCACCTATCCCTCCCCATCAGGCAACCACTCTTCTGATTTTTATCATTCTAGATTAATTTTGCCTGCACTAGAACTGCCTATAAGTGGAACTATGGATTTGTGTACTTTTGTGCTTGCTTTTCTTTTGCTCAGTGCAATGTGTTGCAACCCATCATGCCATTTCATATATTCAAGACTATTTTTGATTTGTGTATCATTCCAGGACACATTTGATAAGGAGAAACATAAAGAGTCTGGTGTTCGGGATCAGGACATTCAACAATTAGATGCTGAGTTGAATTCAACTCGTAGTCAACTCAACCAGGTTCAAGACGAGTAAGAGGAATACAAGTTATCTTTTTCCAAAAAACATTGTCTGTTTTTAATTTTTAAGTTTAAAAGGAGAATAGTGGCTCATGTAAAATGTAGACATCTGCAAATAACTACTGTGTGTGTGTGTGTGTGAGAGAGAGAGAGAGAGAGAGAGAGAGAGAGAGAAGAAAGAGAGAAAGAGAGAGTAGAGAGCAATGTCTTTGACTCTGGGGATAAGATTTTTATATTATAATAGGATACCTAAGACCCTAGTCCCCTTGGCTCCATCCCTGGGGCTCCTTCTTCTCTAGAGGCCTATTATCAGCTCATATATATAAACAGGGGAATATTGTCACATGATAATCTATCTTTTGAAAGAAAAACAAGATGCAAAAGGGAGAGGGATAAAGAAAGTCAGACAAAGAGTAAAATTAAGAAAAGAGAGCAAGAGTAAGATGAAGAGGCTGCATCCATCTGTCAGACATGCTCATTTAGGGAGTATAGATGCTTGGCTGAGAAGTCAGACTCTAAAGAATGAGCGTTTCAAGATTTTGGAACAATTAGTAGATAGGAAAAGTTTTTCTAAAAAGTTAAGCATGAAAAAAAAACACTTAAGCAATGCCAGGCAGCAGCAGAGATCAAGGCAAAGCCAGGGTAGCAAGCTCAAGGAATCACTGCAAAGAAGTGCAAGCCTTGGGTTCGCACTTGAGGAAGGCAGACAACTGTGTATGAAACTGCAGTCAGCCGACCTCACCCAAACCTATCAATTGGGTGTTTCTCCATTTGGAGCCCTGCTCCATTGCTGACAAGGATGGGGCAGCAAGGAATTCTTTAAGGACTTGTGATGGAATAGGGTGTGGCATGCTGCCGTGGTCTCTGATGAGATTTCCTTTTCAGGAAAACATAAAAGTAATAAACATTCCCTTCTCAAAATGCATACAACAGCTTTGTGCAGCGGCAGTACTATAGCCAAGGAGGTTTATCTGAGGCACGATGGTCGCTGATTCAAAATGCATACAATAAATACAAGTGTAAAGATGAAAATCACCTGTTATCTCATCCCTGCTAACATTTTGGTTGATTTTACTCCAGACATTTTTCTTTGTGTGTGCTTGCATGCACGTGCACATGAGCACACACACACACAAACACACGCACACACACACAGGGTTACCTCCACCCCCCTTGTGCATTTTCCAATTGGAACTGTTGTCAATGAGCAGTTTTATGGCTGCAACGGTCAAAATTTACCAATGTAATGTGCAAAAACACAATTCCTCTGAATTTCTACAACTGATTTCAACTAATATCAGCTGCTTTGGAATGAGGTGAGGAGGATAATTAAATTTACCACTTCTCTTCTGGTTTACTATAGGCCTTTTCCTGTGAATATTCAGTTAATTCCAAGTTAAAACTTCTGTTGGGGGCACTTTCTCTCCCTTCTCTCCAGGAGTCCCCTTGGCCCTCCTCCTTGCTTAGACTGGCATCTGGAAGTAGAGGGATGCTTGCATGCTCATGAGGGATGGCTTGTGCTGGAAAGGAGGGACTTTTGGTCTTGTTCTACCCTATGAGTTCTTGCTGCCTTGTTTCCTCCTGGGCATTAGAGTTTTGTGCCAAGTAAGGGTTGCTGATTTGTGGCTTGTCTGGTTAAGTGTTCTGGAGAATTTGCCGGCAAGTGCTGCTGGCCAGGCCCTCCCATTTGCCACTGGCTGTGAGGCAGAGCTTCAAGACTTCGCTGGTTTTTTACTTCTATCAGCACCAAGAGGAGCCAGGAATTCCTACTTCCCTCTCTTACCATTATGGCTCTCTAAATACCCATAAGGAGCATCGGGGGTCAAGAAAACTATGACCACATGCTTTTTAAAAAGTTTTTTTCTTTGGAAATATTTTCCAACAGAAAATTTGTAAGAATAGCGCTAAGAACACCCATAGACATGATCATTCACCCTATTCGCTTTATCATTTGTGTCTATATATACAGTCCTTCCCACAGCCAAACCCTGCATATCTCATTTGAAAGTTGCACAGAGGAGGATATTTGCTCCTTTACTTCAGATTTCCTAGTTTGTTTTAACCCACCTGTGGCTTTTATTTTTTTAAGGCATCACAAATTGTGTTCTCTGTCCCCCATATTCTATGAATGCTAGGTCTCTCTTTTCTCCTTACTCTACCAGCCTTTTGATCAGGATGCTACCTGCTGTGGAATGAATGGCCCACCAAGGAGATTCCCCATGTCTAATCTTGTGGAGACCAGATTGGTTTTGACTCAGTTTCAAATGCGCAAATTCTAATACAGTGCTGAAGGGGACAGGTCTGTCCAAGTTTGATGAATCCTCAACAAGGGAAGACTTTTAGATTTTATACTTGGTCCCTAGTTATGGATTGCATATGTCTTCATTTCCTATATCCAATCTACTGGCAAATCCATTTGAATCTACCTCCTAAACATCTTCCACCCTTGTCCCTTTCTTTCTATTCGACCACCATCACCTTTGTTCAAGGCTCTGATACCAGTTGCCTTTCAATTGGCTACCCTGATTCCATTCTTGCTCGACTACAGTCCATTTTACACATAGAAATTTATAGTCAGACTCCTACTTAAAAACTGTTAGTGGCCTCCTTTTACTGTTGGGGAAAAACATTCTAACCTCCTTACCAGGACTCTCCAGGCCTGTGTGATCTGGGCCTAACTTCTCTCTCCACCCTTGTCTCATGCCAGGCTGCCCTCATTTAGTCTGCGGTCCCCTTTCTCACCTTGAAGCCTTTGCCTGTGCTCTTTCAGAAAAATGGAAGTCTTTCTCTGGCTTTTTGCATGGCTGGTTCTTTATTATCTTTCAGGTGTCAGCGGAAATGTGACTTTCTCAGAGTCTGTCCATGACCAGGTATATCAAAAGGTCTTTCCTTTCCTTCCCATAGTTCACAGTGATGTGAGAATGGCACTTACCACAATTTGAAACTGTAAAATATCAGTTGGCATGTTTCTGATCCACCAGACTGGAAGCCCCAAAGGGTTTCTGTTTTGTATTTGCTATTCTGACACTCTTGTATCTCCAGCACCCAACATTATGCCTGTCACATGGTATATTCTCAATGAATGAATAAATCCCTAATAAAAAATAAATGAAATATGTTGACTTGCTTAAAATAATGCTTGGCACACAGATGTACCTCCTTTTCTTCTCTCTGTATATCACTCAAGAGTGCCAAATTAGCATGTACATTTGGTTGTATGTATATGTGTTCACACATGTGTACCGTGCCTTGAGGAAAAAAAAATAACTATTTTATTCCTGTTCATACTCAACTTCCTTTCTTGGTCTGTTTGCTTCTTTTAATTTTTCTCTTGACAAAAACATTCATTTTTTCCCCCTCCATGTATCCTTTAAAAAACCTGTAACATATTCACCTTTGAATTAAATCACAGCAATTTCCTCTTAATCTCCAGTAGTCCCATTAAGAAGTTATTGCTATTTTGGCATTTTAAAAAAGACTTTAGACATTTTGTTCATTCATTTCTCAGCTTAAAAAATATCTTCTGTGTTACAGGCACTGTCTTAGGTGCTGGAGAAAAAAAGATGAATTAAAGAAAATTCTCACCCTTAAGTAGTTCACAGTGTGTTTGTAATGAGATTGTAAGTGTGAACCAAGTGTTGGAGGCACTCTGGAGAAGGGGAGACACACTCGGATTGAGAGAGTCAGGGGCAGCATTTGTACAAGAAAGCACTCACAGGATGTGTGGGCACTTGTTAGGCGGCGAGGAGAAGGAGGAGACCTGAAGGAAATTTGGGTAATCACAACACCTCTTGTACTGCCTGGTTGACTGGAATCTGTGGGGACTTGGTAGGGATCCTGCTAGCCTCTTATTTCTCAATCTTCTTCACTGTCTAGGGAAGGACTCAAGTGTTGGGCCTTTGATTCTCCCATCTAAAAGGAAGGAAGAAGACAGGTGTTTAGATAGCAACTGCACTCTCTTAGCCTCAGGACAACTGTGATGGAAGAGCCTGGATAGTTAAGGAAGTAGGGTCCGAGAAGTCACGAAACCTTTGCCCACCCTATGATCTCTTGCTGGACTAGGGCAACTTGATTGGGAATCACTGCTCTATCCAATGTCATCCACGTACTTCCATTTCTTTTTTAATTTTAGATAGACCTAAAGAAATAATATGATTTGTTATGATTTACCTACAATGAAGAGAGTCCTTGAAGCTAGCAATGACCTAGCTATGTTGAAAAACTCAGGAAAATGATGCTCAGTAAGTGGTGGAAGTCAGAGGCAGGAAGACATGAAATACTTGGTAGTCAAGTGTGATTATGGAAGACTTTCCTTGTAGGTGGGCATTTTTTTTTTTTATATTTAGGAAGCCTGGGAAAATTAAGTCAAATGCAACTCTACGGTGCAAAGTAATGAAACTACTGCAGAAAATGGTATTATATTCAGAAAATAGAGATTTTATAGGGAGAGGCAGCTTGAGGATTTGGTGTGATTAGAGCAGATAAATTAGGAGGGGGAGATGAAGGAGAACAAGTTTCTTTGCCCTTTGCATTCTAATGTTAATAATTATTACATAGCCTTTTAATGGTAGTTGCTCTGTAATGTCTTTGTGTTTGACATTGAGAAAGAGTGCTAGCATGTTTTTGCATACAAGTGCACCATAATATTTGCAATAGCATCTGATTGGATGCAGATGTCTCATAATTTGATCTTGTTTATGTTGAATTTATATCATATGCCAAAAGTTCCTGGGAGAACCTATGCCTTGATTTGGAAAGTCTGCCAATTTTGGAAAAAATCTGTCTTTAGTTATTGATTTCTCTTACAGTCTGGCTGAAACTGAAAAGACTCTTGAAGAAACCAAGAACAGATCGGCCATATCCCTTTTGGCTGCAGAGGAGGAAATAAATCAACTAAGAAAGCAGTAAGAAAAAAAATGACAGGATTATTGTAGGCTGCTGATTGATCTTTGAATTTAGCTTTTTGGTGCTCCATTATAATATGGAAGAAGCTGTTCACAGAGAGGAAAGGCAGCAATATTTTTATTAATGTTTAATGTATTTTTTTCTTACTACAAAAACATTAGCTACCTACTATAGAACATTTTCAAAGTATAATAGAGTATAAAAGGAACCCAAAGACCCTCTCGTAATTCCAGAGCCAGTTACTGTTACCATTTTGCAATTTATTCCACCTGATACATTGAAAAATAGAGTTACTGCTACAAAATAGGCCTAAGTATACAATTTTAGATACCATCTTTTCACTTAACCTTGTTTTTTTTTCTATTGCTAAGAAAAAAATACTGCAAAACTTAGTTTTAAATAGATGCAGCATGTTATACTATTTAGATATCTCCCTAATATGGAATATTTTACCTTGGTACTGATTTTAAACATTGGAGATAACAACTGTGATAATTGTTGTGGCGTCTTAGTTTAAATTTCCGATTATTCTCTAACCATAAATTCTTAGAAGGAGAACATAAACATACGCTTTAAGGTTATACTTTCCTTGAATTTTTTAATTTAATGTATAGTTGACACTGAGTGTCCCACCAGTTTCAGATGTATAACATAGTGACACGACAACTCTGTGCCTTATGCTAGGTTCGCCACAAGTGTAGCTCCCATCTGTCACCCTTCAATGCTATTATAATGTCAGTGACTATATTCCCTATGCTGTGCCTTTTGTTCCTGTGACTTATTTATTTCAGATGTGGAAGCCTATACTTCCCTTTCCCCTTCACCCCCTTTTCTCATCTCCCACACTTCTTCTCTCTGACAGTACCACTTTGTTCTCTGTATTTATGCGTCTGTTTCTACTTGTTTGTTTATTCATTTGTTTTGCTTTTTAAAATTTCACATATAAGTGAAGTCTTATCATATTTACCTTTCTCTTTCTGACTTATGTCACTTGGAATAATACCCTCTAGGTCTATCCATGTTGTCACAGAGGGCAAGATTTAGTTCTTTTTTATGGCCGAGTAATATTCCATTGTATATGTGTGTGTGTGTGTATCTAATGTGTGCATATACATATGTATGTATATATATATACATGTGCATATATGTTTATATCATATCATATCACATCACACCACATATACATATACCACATCTTGATCCATTTATCTATCAATGGACATGGGTTGCTTCCATATCTTGGCTATTGTAGATAACGCTGCGATAAATATAGACATGCATATATCTTTTCAAATTAGTGTTTTTGTTATCTCTAGGTAAATACCCAGTAGTGGAATTATTACATTTCAATATTTAATTTTTTGAGGAAATTCCATATTGTTTTCCACAGCGGCTGCACCAATTTACATTCCTACCAGCAGCGCACAAAGGTTCCCTTATCTCCATGTCCTTGCCAGCATTTGTTATTTCTTGTCTTTTTCATTCCAGCCAATCTGACAGGTATAAGGGTGATGTACCTTCCTTGATTTTAATTTTGATTTTTCCTCCCAAAAGCAAGTGGGGAGTTATATTAAAACACACACACACACACACACGAAGACCGTTTTTGCTGCCTTCACACATGTTCCATTGCTCTGATTTCTTTGGGAACACCACCACCAACATTGTAGCTGGGAGTAGTTTTCTGTTTTCCACTTCTATCTCCCCTCTCACCATCATTCTCTTTCTTTTTTACTCTTTTTATCTTTATTTGCATTTATTTATTCTATGCAGAATTTACTTCCGAACCGTTTCTGTTTCTTCAGTTTCTTGTAGGATATCTTTTTCTTCTGTGTAACCTTCTCTTCTGGCTTAGGAACAGTCTGCTCTTTTCCAGTAAGGACTATCTCAATGTGGCTGGGAGAGCTCATGTATGGGTGAATCTGACCATGAGTCTCGTTAAGTTCTATGCCTCATCTTGGGGGCTTTGTTCACCTGGATGGGCTCAAAGCCCAGAGAATCTCCATCTAAACCCTTCAGTTCAGCATTATTCTCTGCATTTTTAAGTATTAAAAATTCAGAACTCTTCTTGAGCCATCAGCCCAGTGTCTAGCCCAACTCTTTGGCCTGGGCACACCTGCCAACTCCACCAGTGTAGTGACAGCATGGCACATGCTGCTTCTGCAAAGTGACATCTTCAGATACTTGGTGGCTTTTTGGAGATGCATGCCCTTGATGGCCTGGGCAGCGTCATGTGGGTTCCTAAAGTGAATACAAAGATCTGAACCTCTTGATTTGCATGATTTTGCAGGGTTTTCTGGGTCAAGTGACTAGCGAACCATTTTCAGAGGTCACCCCAGGCTGCTTAGGAGAAGAACTCTCACTGTCATGTTCATCTCTTATTTCCTACTTGATAGACCTTCTCAATTTCTTTGATCCTATAATTCGATGATTTCCTGTAGTAGCGATTCTGTTCTTTACTCTTTGCAGTGCAGCTTTTAATTCTGCTATTGCATCGTTAGCTTCTCTGTGTCCTCCTTAATCTTAGCCCTTATTTTTTCATCTTATATCATTGTCCTTTTCATCACAGCACCTTCTCTTTGTGTGGCTTTGCTGTTTTAGGGAGTCACACCTTTTTGTATCTTTTAGGGAGTCACACCTTTTTGTATCTTTACAAGGATGACAATTTTATTTCCGAAGCTTTGTTTCTAGAATACATTATTTTTATAAATTCACCCTTCCACTTCTGTATTGTCATTTCCTCCCATATTCCATCTGTCCAGAGAATCCAAGAGCTAGGAGATTGCTTCTCTGGCCAGCTTCTGGACCTAGGTTTTGAAGGTCAAATGTTTCCAGAGTTCTATGCAGTTAAGATCAGCCTAATAGAAACCAGGGTGACTATAGGCCCACTCTGCTTTTGCTAGAGGATCTGCATACATATTCCTTTTTCAGAATCCTTCTTCTCTTTTTTCTTTCTTTCTTTTTAAATATTTTATTTATTTATGATAATATTTATTCATGAGAGACACACAGAGAGAGGGAGAGACATAGGCAGAGGGAGAAGCAGGCTCCCGCAGGGAGCTCAATGTGGGACTCCATCTGGGATCACAAGCTGAACCAAAGGCAGATGCTCAACCAACCACTGAGCCACCCAGGTGCCCCCTGGAGCCTTTTTTGCATGCAAGCTGCAGACATGGGTGGCATTCTGACCCTGGCAGTCTGCTCCTTTCTGATTTGTGTTGGTTGCTTGTGAGTTTTCCAGCGCAGTAATGGCATTGCTAAGTAGAGTAGCCTCTGTTACCACATATGCCAGTTGTTGCTATTACCTTTCCTCCATTCTTCCCTCTTTCTCTTTTCTTTCCTCCTTAATTTTTGTTTTCTGCCCAGGCTTAAATCTCTTCAAGCCCAGGAGGACTCCCGCCACAAAAGCACAGAGCATAAAAGTGTGGAGCTGCGGGGTGCAGAGCCTCGAGCCTCAGAGCCGAGGACCTCAGAGCAGAGGAGGTTGGACCAGCGAAGCATCGACAAGAGGAACCCAGACCAGCGGACCGAAGTGATTTTTGATTATGAGAAACAGCTCCGAACCCTGAAGGACGAGATAGCTGTTTTGTCTGCTGAAAAATCTGTGCTTCAAGGAAGGTCTGACAAATGCTTACAGATCTTTTCATTTCAGTTCCTTTCAGTAGTGGTAAAAGCGTGGCTTGGAAAAAAAGTGAAATGGCATCCTGAATCCAAACCCCCACAATATTTGAATTGTAGAGGGATTATTTTCTCTAACTGCACCCTTCTAGAGAGAGAGAATACCTCTGCTTGGGCACTAATTAATTTGGGGCTGACGTGGAAGCGCAAGGAATGAAACTGAGAGCTAGGCAAGAGGAGAGGACGGTTCTTTGGCTCGAGAGCAGATCTGGGTGCACCTGTCATGCATGGGCCATACCCATGCTGAGAGAATATTCCATAATATGAGGGTCCTGTTCTCTGAGGCCTGGGAGTCCTCTCTCTGGGATGGCCACCTGTCATTTTACTTCCTGTATCTCATTTCGTTTGATGGAGTGTGTAGGTAAGTGTTCTCGTGACATCTCTTTCTACGGATGGACAGAAGGTTAAGACAGGTCGTTCGGAGTTAAGTGAGGACAGAGCAGGATGTTTCTCTTGGAGCATTTTCCTTGTTCTTTTTAACACCCACCACCTCCCTCAGCCCCACAACATGCCCTGATCCAAACTATCAAAGGCACCCCCACACCTGGTCCCCAATCCCCCTATATGCCACCTTGGCCTTTCTTGGTTTTGGGACTCAGTCTGGCATGTTGTGCTGATACCAGCTTGTCCTGGCTCCCAAGGACCGATTCTGTGCAAGTCTGCCTAATTCTGAGCTCAATGTGATGTCACATTAATAGCTGGAAATTGGCCCCGGTGGCAGTATTTCGTGCACCCTGGAAATTGTCAAACCACAGTGGAGGGCTTTCCCTCTGCCCCTCCTTCAGAGTGGGCTTTGTATTACTGTTTGCTCCATAGTTTCTTCTACACCTCCCTCCTTGGGGGCCCAGTGCCCCCCCTTTTTTTTAAAGATTTTATTTATTTATTCATTAGAGACACAGAGACAGGGGGAGAAGCAGGCTCCCTTTAGGAAGCCTGATGTGGGGCTCGATCCCTGGACCCCGGGATCATGACCTTAGCCAAAGGAAGACGCTCAACCACTGAGCCACCCAGGCGCCCCGTCCATTGCCTTTGATGCCGTTCATTGATACCCTGCTTTACATTCACCCAGTACTTGCACATCTATTCTTAGCTCCACTCCCACCCAGAAATAGGGTGAACACATTGTGGGTGAGAACTTAGGCTTTGGAGAGGCGAGCCAACAGTGCCACTGCGATAGAAGGAGAACGCAGATCTTTCTCATTGTTCAGTAGTCATCCTGTTTAGACCATATGGCCCGTGATCTGTTCGTACTCCCAAGACTAGGGTAAGAAGTCAACTGATCTCTTTAACGCTGGCTCTCGCTAGCAGTGCCACTTTACTTGGGGACCCTATTGACTCTTCTGAGCCTCAGAGCTCCGCAGCCCTAACAGGGCCAGCGATCAATGTTGAGCTTGCAGGGCCCCTGAAAGAACAACCTGGGGTGCCAGTTCCCCATGCTTATTTAGAGCATCTGACCGCAAATGTACTGAATGCCTGGCGGAGAGGTCTGGGGGGCACCTGCTTCCCCTGCACAGCTGACGGGCATCACTGGCAGTTCAGGTGGCCGGGGAGGAGGGAGAAGCCATCAGCCTGCCTCTCCCGCTGGTTCTTGCCAACAGGTCGGCCAGGAGCCGGACGCCCAGCCCTGCCCCTCGCAGCCGCAGCCGCAGCCGCAGCCAGAGCCGCAGCCGGTCCACCAGCCCCTCCACCGCTGTGGCCAAGATCAGGACCCCGTCCCCGAATCACGCCAAACTGTCCAGTGTGGCCCGCAAGGCTTCCCTCCTGTCCCGGTTCAGCGACGCCTACTCCCAGGCCCGCCTGGATGCGCAGTGCCTGCTGCGGCGCTGCATCGACAAAGCCGAGACGGTGCAGAGGATCATCTACATCGCCACCGTGGTAGGTGACACCTGCACCGCGGGCAGACAGCGCTTGGGTGACCCGAGCAGTACAGCCGGGAAGGACCCGTTGACCCTGAGGTCGCAGAGGGAGGAGGGGGGATTTCCATCTGTTCCTTCCTTGCCTGTTGGCTTCTTTGCTTCTTCCTTCCTTCCATTACAAATATTTGGGATGAACAGTTACTCACAGTCAAGAACAACTCGTGTCTATGAATACTTGTATCGACCAGACATTTGTCATAGCAGATGGATCCATAAGTATAGGATTATCTCAAATGCCTGTATCCTATGTTGATTTGCGCTGCGCCCTCCAATGTGTGCATACGTACACTATTGAGATGGTGCAGCTTACGGCTATCGTTTGATTGCTATTTCCTCTCATTCTCCAAAACCTCAGAAGGCTGTGCTTGTGTTAACTCTTCTGTTTATTTAAGTAGGAGTAGTTACTAAAACTGCTAGTCCATCGGCTCCTTGAATATGGCAGGTTGAAGATGCTCATATATAATCCTTAATTCTCAAAGCCAAAGGTATTTGTTTTGTGAGTACCATACTGAGATATGAAGGGTCCGTCATGAGACACGAGAACAATCCATATTTATTTCTTCTTATTTTTTAATCAATCAATTATTTATTTATTTATTTATTTATTTATTTATTTATTTATTTTAACAATCCATATTTAAAAACAAAACAAAACCCACTGGGATGAGAACAGAATTATCAGAGCCTTCTGAACTTTATCCTGTAGTATTCATTTATTTCAGGGGTCAGCAGACTAGGACCCATGGGCCAGAGCTTGTCCTGGCCTGTATTTCTAAGAAAAATCCTGCCTGAGAGCTAAGAATATAAGAATGGCTTTACATTTTTAAATGATTGTCAAAAAAGAAAAAAAATGTGACAAGAGACTGTATGTATTTTAGGCAAGACTGAGACATTTATTCTCTGGCTCTTTGCGAAAAAAGGTTGCCAACCCTGGTTTATTTCATTAAGAGGTCGGCTAAGGTTCTGTGAGCTTAAGGGCATGTCTTTCCTGTGTGAGTTTCCTTGGTGCCTACTATATAACAGACATTTAATAAACGCTTGTTGAATTAATATATGCCAGGGAACATGCCAGATGCTTGATAAGTGTCTTTGTATAACATAAACACTGATAATTTCATTTCTGGACCAGTAAGATGACATTGCTGTAGGATCATAGTATAAACCAGCACTTTTATTATTATTTTTTAAAGATTTACTTATTTGAGAGAGAGAAAGAGAGAGAGAGAGAGAGAGAGAGAGAGCAAGCATGGGGAAGGGCAGAGAAAGAGGGAGAGAAGCAAACTCCACTAAGCGTGGAGCCCCACGCGGGACCCGATCCCACGACCCTGAGATCATGACCTGAGCCAAAATTAAGAGTCTGATGCTTGACTGACTGAGCCATGCAGGTGCTCCTGACCAGCACTTTTTGAGTGTTGATGCAACCACAGATGATCTGTTTCCTTGAACCTCTGCACTGTCCTGCCTCCCGCACTCAGGATTAGCAGAACAATGAGCAAATGTCTTGAAATTAGTGAACATGCATAGTTGTATATGTATTTATGTACTTTTCAAAATTGAGATCTGCGTTTTCTCCCAGATTAAAATTAGTTTTGACCAACTGTATTTAGTGTTCAGAAGACCCATGCGATGTTGAATTTTTGGTGAGTCTTTCTTCATTCCTTGCCTCGGACCTCTTCCCTCCTCTTCTTCTATCTAATAAATTTGCTGCATTTTTACCTGCAGGAGGCATTCCATGTAGCTAAAATGGCATTTAGACATTTCAAGATCCGTGTGAGGAAATCGTTGACACCATCTCTGGCGGGGTCGAATAACTATGAGGATGCCGTCTTGGATTATATCATTTGTCATCTTGATCTATATGATTCCCAAAGCAGTGTTAACGTAAGTGCTGGGTCTCTTGGTGGGACTGGTTTGCTGCTGCTCCTCTTTACGTGGAATACTAATAATTCAGAAATCCCATGCTCGGCATTTCCTGTATGTAATGGGATAGCAGAAATGAGGAGCGTCCAATTGACTTTGTATAAGCAGTCATTAATGGATATTTCTTAGACATTTTATGGGGAACCTTTATTATTTTTAGATGTTTTTTTTCAAATAAATTTATTTTTTATTGGTGTTCAATTTGTCAACATACAGAATAACACCCAGTGCTCATCCCGTCAAGTGCCCACCTCAGATGGGTTCTTAAGATTGGAGATAGAATGCCATAGTGCTTAAGAGCAATGGCTTGAGGGACAATATAGATTTGCATCCTGGCTGTGCCACTTACTAGCTATGTGACCTTGCACATTTACTTAACCTTTGTGCTTTAGTTTTCCAGTCTTTATTTTTTTTTTTTAATTTTAAGATTTTACTTATTTATTTACTTGAGAGACAGAGAGTGTGGGTGAGCATGAGCCGGGAGAGGGGAAGGGGGGAAGAGAGGCAGACCCCCCACCAAGCAGGGAACCTGATGTGGGGCTGGATCCCAGGACTGTGGCATCATGACCTGAGCCGAAGGCAGATGCTTAACCAACTGAGCCACCCAGGCGCCCCAGTTTACCAGTCTTTAGATGGGAGCAACAATGGTCATGACCTCACAGAGTTCCTATACTTGCCTAGAATAGAAAAATGAGGAAATAATAAATAAAAGCCACCAAGGGTGTTTGCTTTAGTTTTGGGGGGAGACTCTCTTGGCTTTTAGCTTGCCATTTGTCCCCTGCATCATCTTTCCTCCTTTCCCATCAGTGAGTCTTTCACTTCAGCACATGTGCAGCTTTTCTAGTTTATGATATTCTGACCCATTTGCTCTTCCCCACCACCCACCGGTCATAACCCCCTTTGGGTGTCAGAGCTTCTTGTCACAGGTTGGTAACAAAGTGATGCCATCTTTTTGTTTTTCAGGATGTAATCCGAGCCATGAATGTCAATCCCAAGATTTCATTTCCTCCTGAAGTTGACTTTTGTCTCCTCAGTGACTTCATCCAGGAGATATGCTGCATTGCTTTCGCAATGCAGACTTTAGACCCACCCCTAGATATCGCATTTGGGGCAGATGGAGAAATTTTTAATGATTGCAAGTAAGAGACATAAGAGCAGAAGCTAAGGTGGTTTTTTTTTTTTTTAATACATGATCTTTTCTCTCTTTTCTGGAAACAATTTAGGGAAAAGAACTCTGGGTGGGGAAATCAACAGAAAGGACCTGGCTTCCAGGGCCTGCTCTATACTTCTCTGTACCACAGGCCAGACCCGTCTCCTGGGGTCACTTTCTTTCTCAGTCAAATGTGATTCAGAGGTGATGTTATCATTTTCATTGAATACATTGGTCTTGGGGAGAACTAATGAATGCCTGGAGCCTGTCTAGAACACTTGTTAAAAAGATGCTACCTACCCACAAATGTGTATTACTTTTTATTGGTTTCTACTGTATTATTTAGTCCATGTTTCTCAAAGTATGGCATATAGATCACTTGTGTCAGAATTACTCAAATCTTGTTAAAAAGGCAGGTTCCTGGATCACACTCTATGATATTTTATGCAGTAGGTCTGGGGTGGGGCTCAAGAATCTGCCATTTAACAAACACCTAGGTGTTCCTTATCACACAAGCATTTGAGAATGTGTGCTCTAGACTCTCTAGGACCATTAGATTTCTATCAACTTTTACATGGTAAGTGTTTCCTTTATAAATTAGAAGAAATTAGTTTAAAACATTTTACTGAAATTTTATGGGATCTCATGATACAGCTAGAGATTATTGGGAAGAGGGCAAGCAAGTGGTTAAGAACACTCTGAGGCTTGAGGCTCTGGCATCAGGCTGCTTGCGTTCAAATCCCAGCTTTACCACCAATTAGCTCTGTAACTCGGGGCATGCTATTTAATTTGTTGCTTAGTTCCCTCTTTGTCAGATGGGGGAAATAATGATACCTGTTTCCTAGGGCTGGAGAAGGTCAGTTGACTTCATTCAGATAAAGTACTTAGACGCTGCTTGGCATGTAGTGAGCTCTCAGGAAATGTTAGCTTTTGGTGTTTGTTCAGTCTGTAGAGTTAATGGGGCGGTGACCCAGTACCCTACAAGCTATTGATGATAGAGACTACATAACTTTCTTTTGCTTATCCAATTCACAATGATGGTGTTTCCAATTGCCTTTTAGCTTGCCATATTTTCCTGCCATTGCTCTGTTTCTATTTTCTTTCAGATCATTGCTCCTAACATGTGTCCACTCACGGAAGAGCTGGTATTCAAACATTACACTGCAATTGATCTTTTTGATTTCTTTACAGAACATGTTATCTTATTCCCTCTTCCTTTATTCCTTTCTCCTTTGTAGAAGGCATAGAACTACTCAGAAATGTGTAACCACTTTAGTTTATGGAACCTGCATATTTCACAGAGGGCCTGTGAGGGCATCCTGCTTCCATGACTTTAATCAGATGTAAGCTGTTGCTTCTTGGGGCACTCTGTAGCCTGTACATCTGGAAGACTGTAGAGCTGAATCTAGAGTTCCTAATGATGACTATTTGGTTCTACTTTGAGGACTTCACAAAACAACTTTAATGCTTTTTTTTTTTAACCCTGGCACCCTTTCATGTATTTGAAGCAATTATTCAGATCTTCCTTCTTCTGGCTTCATGGCTTTGGGTTTTTCTATATAAAGGGGATTTGAGACTTCTTGATAGATCAGTTTCTTTGGCCTGTGCTCAATGCTCTTCTGAGTATTCCTTTTTAAGTGTCCACACTGAGTGTAGTCCCCTGCTTTGAACTGAGCAGCTTAGAGAGACCAATACTCTTGCCATTCTTATTCTCCATTAATCCAGCTAATTTGTACCAGTGTTTTCTGTGTTTTTTTTCAGATGTATAACACTGTTGTTGATTGTTTTGAATTCAACTGAAACCTGTTATTTTTACTTGTGCTTGTGTGATTAAGCCTTTATCACCTCTATCTGTGCAATTATACACTTTTTAGACTCAGTTTTAGGGCCTCATATGTATCCACATATGCTGTGTCCTATTAGATTCAGTTTATTGTTCTTGTCTGTTGAGCTATTTTTTTTAAAAACTGTCATTTGTTTCTTCTTTCCTACTCATCCCTAGCCTTTGAGTGATTTTTCTATAGTTCACACAGATCATTGATGAACATGTTACTCAGAAAAAAATTGAGAGAGAGCACCTTCATTCAAGGTCTTATCGACTCACAATTATTTCACTTTGGATAAGATCATTGAACCAGTTTCTGATCGACCTACTTAAGTCAATCATCCACCTTTTTTTCTGTTATTTTGCCCACAAAGATAGCATATGAAGTCTTTCAGGATGCCTATAGGACTTCAGATGGTCTCCATCTCAAGTGTTTCCCTGAACTGTAACTTATTTTTTAATTCTTAAAAAAGATTTTATTTGTTTATTCATGAGAGACACACACAGAGAGAGGGGGGGGGGGCAGAGACACAGGCAGAGGGAGAAGCAGGTTCCATACAGGGAGCCTGATGTGGGACTCGATCCTGGTACTATGGGATCACGCACTGAGCTGAAGGCAGACGCTCAACTGCTGAACCACCCAGGTGTTCCTGAACTGTAACTTGTAATTCTGAGAAGGAAAGGACCGAGTTTCATCTGACATGACTTGTTCTATGTGAGTCCATGTTAGGTCCGTGTTATCATTGGTTCCTATTCTAAGAGCCCAGAATCATGTCTTTAATAACACAATCAGGATCCATATTTATCTAGTCTGAGTGTAATAAAAAATGAAAATTTACACTGATGTCCTCCTCTTATGCTATATCAATTGCTTAATGTCTCTTTTTTGTTCTTTTGTGTGTTTAAAATAGGTACCGTCGCAGCTATGACTCTGACTTCACTGCTCCCTTGGTCTTCTATCATGTGTGGCCTGCTCTCATGGAGAATGACTGTGTCATTATGAAGGGAGAAGCTGTCACCAAGAGAGGGGCTTTTGTACGGTGGCCTTGAATAGTGACAATTCATCCCCAGTGTTTGATTCACAAGTTCGAGAACATTTATAAACCCAGAGATTCTATAGAGAAAGTCTAAAGACTTGCTTGATAACGTTTCATACAAAGGAGAGGAGAAGGACTTGCTGGGAAAAAGAGATTCTTTTCTTTGATTCTTCCATGATTCTTCATAATTTTTGGGCATTAACTTCTTTGTTGGCTTTATTTATAAGATGGAACTAGCCATATTTGCCTCCTCCATCTTAGAAATATGCTATTATAAGGGTAAACCTCCTTGAGCTCATCTTATTGGCAGCCCTCTATGATTCTAAGCATTTGGAAGTGATCAATGAACTTTCAGGATACAATTGGCCAAATTTTTACTGATTCCATTTTGGGAAATGAGGAATTTGCTCTGCTTTTCTCTCCTTGGTATGATGTGTTCTGAACATGGTAAAATTTGGGCAGCCTTCAAAACAGACTGTATGTATGAAAGTGTATTACTATGTGTTGTGGTGGGGGTTGGGCAGTCATGGGGGCTTGACTATTCTGTATAATATACACAACGGGGTTTTTATCCTGCCCTTCCTAGAAATAATTAAGAGAATTCTGAAGGGAAGTTCTTTAGTCCAGTGCAAAGCCACCATCTGGCTGGTCTCAGTTCCTGTTCTCTTTGAGAAAATAGGAAAGTGCTTCAATGGCAAACATTTCACACATGTAAGGGAGTACAGGACCAGCATATTTTAAAAGAACTTAAGAGTTTTTTCAGCTTAAACATCCCACTATAGTGAACAGTATCTCAATAAAATATTTTGTGCTGAGAAAGTTGAACCCACAGAAATCGGGATGGGTTGATATGACAGCCACACATTGTCTATGATGAATGGGCTCGGAAAACATGCTTCTCGCTCCTGCAACTATCACTTTCTGTTAAGAAATTGAAATTGTAGAGTCTCTGTAGTGCAATTCGGCAGGGAGAGAGAGAGGAAATAGCCACTATTCATGTATTCTACGTCAAATAGGCATTTTAACTTCCTTCTTCCTCTCCTCAAGCATATTGCCAACATTTTTCCCAGCTTAAACTCCCAAGACAAAATGTGAAAAACCTGAAAGGAAGTACTTGGAATAAAGGAAAAAACTGAATGAAGGGAAATTTGTAAGAAGGATTTTGCAAGTAAAATCTCATTATAGTGAATCTAGTTTTTTATTCACTTATTTATTCACTCCCTTCCTCAGTCATTAATTCATTTCATTCAACAATATTTATTTATTCAATAGTCATATGTGACCCAAGCATATATAGTTTAGGTGCTGGGGATTCAGCAATGAACAAAAGAGATCCAAATCCCTGCCCTCAGGGGGCTTACATTCTCTGACACTTGCATGCTTGAATGTAATTTCTAACAATCTATTCAGCAAAACAATATTCTAGCACCAAGAATTTGAATATTCCAAAGCTGTTGCAATGGGAAGTGCCCTTAAAATTATTGTCAAATATTGGGCAGCTGTAAGAAATGAAGAGTGTGTCCCATGGTGATTGATGCCCAGTAATGGGCAAGTGTAATCATATCAGCAAAACCTCTTGGTCTGTGGGATATGCATATTGTGAGCTTTCACAAACTACTATTTCTCTTTTTTTTTTTAGTGGAATTCAGTGCGATCTGTAAGTCGATGTCGAAGCAGGAGTTTAAGTCCCATCTGCCCCCGTAGCCGTATTGGTTTAAGCACGGTATATATCTAATAATTTTACACAAAGCATCTGATAGTTGACACTTCTGTCTCCAGTAGTCACCTATAAAAGAGGTGATTATAGGTCTATAGGTAGAAAGAGAACCGGTTGCAATAACCCCAAACTGATTTTTATGCTCCCTTGGGCTAAGGAATTTATCATTCAAGGAAGAAGGAAGTAAAAGTTGAGTTTTTCATACTTACTTCAAAGAATAATAGACTTTACATATTTTGTAGTTTTATTTTTGTTTTGGAATGAAAATGGGCAACAGGTCTAGTTTTCTGAATGGAGAATGGGAATGATCTAAACACAGATCCTTGGTTCCTCTTCAACTTATTTCATGAATTTGGAGAAATTCCTCAAATGGTCTGGATTTCAATACTGTATATAGGGCATTGCAGGTATTAATTTTCCTCCACACTCCAAGAAGAATAACATTGGGCTCCTTGTGTATGAGTTCTTGGGAGGATTATTAATACCTCTGTCAAAAAAATAGCAGCCAAAACATTTCTAAAAACCAAAAACATTATTATGATTCACCACTGTTGATTTATTCAACAAATAATATTTAGTCAATGCCTTTTGAATACAGGGCTGGACCAAGACACCTGGACACCAGATAGGCTAACAATTTGCTGTTCCTTCAAATAAAAATTCATTATATATTTGTTCAATCTTGTTTTAGGGAGACTGATGGAGGAGAATCACACCTGACAGGGTTCCACTTCTCTGAAATTATCTCTAGTAATGCAGCTCTAGCTATAAACTTCTGAAACTCCTTCTGTAAAACAAAACCAAAACCAACTGCCTTCCACCTTCCATTAATAAGATCTACTTTTCTGAGTTTAGTGAGCACCTATTACTTCAGCATGCACTTTATCAACTATTCCTTCCTTTTCTGATGGATGCTAGTTTTGGAGGGGGGACACAACAATGATGAAAACATGGTCTCTTCCTTGAATGGTTTTCCATACAGGAAGATCAATATGATTTAAACCAAGTAACTGAGTGCAGTATATGCCACCATCCATACCAGATGCGTGAAGGACTAGAGCCAGGCGAGGAGGTAGGGATTCTTTCTGGACTTGGTAGTGAGGTGGGCGAGTTGGTACTTGATCTCGCTTTTTAGAATGCGTGGAATTTCAATGAGCTGGGAAACTGAGAAGGAATATCCAGAAAAAGGAAATGGCCTGAGAATGGAAAAGGCATGTATCTGACACAGATCTTTTGCTCTTGGCAATTATAATATAACTCACTTATCCGTATTCATGAATAAGTATTTACAGTGGATAGAAGCAAAAGGATAGTGCATTTAATGGACTTATAAGTAAAAAGGAAATCCTGAGAATTTTATCCTGGAAGAATCACAATCTCCTTATTCTAAGAGGACATGGCTTATCAAAAACCAATATCAGACACCTATCGTGCTTACAGACATGGCAAATTTTTCCTCTGGACTCTCACTGCATGGCTTGTTGATGGGCAGTATCCCTCACATAAAGCCCTTATGCATGTTTCCCACCCTTTCTTTATCTTTCCTTCTTTGTGCCCAAGGAGAACCAAATAGTTTCAACTTTAGATGAGAATAAAATATATTCTTTTTTTTTTTTTAAAGAAAGTAGGCTCCATGTCCAATGTGGAGCTTGAACTCGTGAACCTGAGATCAAGAGTCACATGCTTTATCAACTGAGCCAGGCAGGAGCCCCTAAAATACATTATTAGTGGTGAGACTGTTGCCAACTCTGTCCCTTTCCACCATCCTCTCCTTACAATGACTGGGTACACCTGGAAAATAAAATACAAATATTTATAGTTAGTCTGATTTTGGCATTTGAGGTCTTGATGCATCCAGAACAACTTTTCATCTTTGTTAGTGTCTATTTATATAAAGTTTTTGAAAGCTCAGAGCAAGAATATTGCTTCTAGTCACTTATTTCTGAGCTGTAACACATTTATAAGTATAGGTGGTGGCTTTTGCTTAGTGAAAGCAAATGTGAGATTTGGAAAGTGATTTTTTCCTGGCTTCCCAGTGACCCTCCTTAATAGGACAGGGTTTCAGACACATGACAGGATTCATATAAAAATCTGATAGAGAGTATTTGATCATTTTAGCTTGAATTAGTTCATTGTACTACCACTAATAATTACTTTCTGGAAAGCATTGAATTCAATATGGCCACTGTGCATCCAATCTCAAAGTCTTCAGGCACCATTAAAACAAACAAACAAACAAACAAAAACACTTAGGCCACTGAGCCCAGATTTTAATGAATGACATAATTTAAACCAAATTGAGTACCCATATACTTCAGGGCATATAAAAGGAATTGAATTGTTCTACCTTAGATGTGATGTCATCATTCCAAAGTGCCTCACAACAACTATCTAAGTGGTTTTAGAATAAAATGTCACAGGGATTCATTCTTTGAGCTTCCCCTACTGTGTCATTCACGTTACTCTTTTATATTTTCCAGATATCTCGAAGCCGGAGCCCTTCTCCAATAAGATGTGGATTGCCAAGTAAGTGGGATGCTTTAGCTGGAACAAATTTTCTGCATTTTAATGCTCTTTTTAGCACTCAGCACTGGGGACCAAAATGAATGTTTTGCCTCCCAGGGAACTCATCTCTAACTTCCATCTCACACCTTTCATTTCTGGGCCTTCTCATTGATGCTGGCCAAGCAAGTCCCATGGGTGACCCAGGAGGAGCCTCCACTTGAGAGGCTTTATCCCTATAAACCCAGCTTGACCACCCTAGTTTCATTTAGGTCCTTCCAAAAGAAAGTCTAAGAAAGTGACCATAAACCCAAACTGTTTGTTTTTCTCCCTAGGGTTTTAAGGCCACCCGACATGTTCCTTTGCCACAGTACATCTGCAACAGCCAACTTTCCCAGCGTCTCTATCTCCTCTGCCTGCCTCAGAACTCACTTAAGATAATGTGAAAACGCAATTCTGTGTATCACTCCACACAGAAAGTTAAATGTTTTGGCTTAGCGTGCTTGTAACTTCAGACATATTGCATTTTATTTTATTTTATAGACACAAATTCCATTAATTTGATAAAAACGATTGCATAGGTGTTTAGGATCATATTCATTTGAAGCAAAGTCCATCACAGAGGTTCAGAGTTTTAATCTTCAGAGACTAGGGCTTTTTAGGGCAACCATACAAACTAAAGTGGAAGATCTTTACCATGTGGGGTTCAAAAGACAGAGTCAGTTTAGTTTACAGATTGGTCATAAATATTGTAATTGCTGGTATGGGCTTAAGGCTAGAAAATGATGTTGAGTGTTTTAATTTTCTTTTGTTTGGAGGACAGCTCTAATCCTAGGCTGGGGAATTTGTGGTAGCAGTGACTTCAGGCTACAGGTAGATGGCGATGATTGCAGAGATTATAGATCATGGGCTTGCTTGTCTTTTCCTACTTTGTGGATGCCCAGTTTGATTTTAGTTGGGTTCCAATGCCAAAGCTACTTACCTGCGAGAATGTTGTTGCTTCATAAATGTGAAGTGATTTGGCTAGAAGCCAGCTTTGAGATCAATGGCAATTGCCTTGTGTTTATCTTGTGGGAATGTGTCGTGCAGTTTTAAGGTACATGTTAAATATAGAAGTGACTTGGACATGTTCCCCTAGTTAGATGTTCTAAGAACTGCATCTGATTAAAAATACTTAAACTCAAGGTTTAAAACTAGGGGTACCATTTATTGATTTTAAACTGAGCGAATATACCTTGATTACTGTGAAGGACTGCTGAAAAAATTCAAGTTCTATGTAATAATGGAATGTAGCTTTCCCAAGATAAGCAATGTGTTGTACGCCCCTCACCCCCACCCCCCACACACTTTGATGTGGCCTTAAACACAAGCTTCACAAACGACTGTTTTTGCTATGTGCCTTTTAGAGAGGAACTCTGAATTGGCCACAGCTCTTTCTGGATAAACTCAGTGCCAAACTAGCACCTGATGTTTTTTAGGTGAAAAAAACAAAAAACAAAAAACCCAAAGCAAAAAAACCCCTAAAGCATCCTGTCCCTTGTGTTGGTAGATGGAGGTGGGAGTGACCTCCTCCATCCCTGCCCCTTGGGTCTAATGGTCATCAACTCATTCTGAAGCATGAGGTTAGTTTTTCTCCCTCTGTGTATTCTTATGCAGTCATCACATGAAGGGGAGGCAGCATGCTTTGGGGAGGCCTTGGTGTCTGGGTATTTCCAGCTCTGACTTGGTCATCAGTTTGCTTTGTGGCCTTGAGCAAGTGACTTCACCTCTCTGAGTCTCAGTTTCGTTGTAGAGTGTGGAGGTTGGGTCAGACTAGTCATTCTCTCAATGCTGCCAGATTCAGTGCCCCTTTATGGCAAATATTCCGGTCATTCTGAAATAGAATTCAATGTTAATACAATCCAAATGCATATAGGCTTTTAGATAATGAGCTTAGTATCCTGATTTTAATACAAAGCAGAAAAAAAGGGAAAACAGTTTTTAATAACATGCATTTCAGTAAAAAGGCTTTGGTATTGCCATCCAAGAAGGTCAAATTAAATCACTAGTTGCTTACACCTGTATGTAGAGTCTTGAGTGACAAGTGCAGATCCATATGTGTTGGATCCATATGTGTATACAGCATTGGGTATGATATTCTGAAATGGTGGACAACTCCTTATAGAGTTTTGAACAGAAAACATAGTCATGCCTTGATCTGCATAGTAAGTGCATCCCTGGAAAAGTTAGTGTACGTTGAAACCATGCAACTATTACTTTGTGTTATATGTTAAAAGACCTTTTCTAAAATCTCACTAAGCAATGAGAATTCATTTTTAGGAATTGAACGGGGTAACTCAGCCTTGATTTGGAAAATGTTCACACATAGCCTCAGTTTATTTGCTCTGTACCCTGTCTGGACACTTGTCATTTCTCAAGTCTCTAATTTGAACTGTAACCACACAGGAAATGGTGAAGATTCTAGAATAATTTGGGGGAAGGATCTACAAAAGCCAAGGAGACTGACCTATACTCATCTCATCTGGGCATGCACCTTAACTTTAGTAACTTTGAAATATGAAAAACTCTTACTTTGTAAACTGGTAAATGTCAATTTTTATATTATTGGCCTAACATCTAATAATAAAATCAAGAAAAAGAGTGCTTCTCTATCTGCAGGTTCTTTGCACTGAGATGCTTTCTTTCCAGATCCCCACCTTCAGCGATATCCTTTGCCCATCTCCATTCTGTAAGGTCTGAACCAGGCCCACAAATTTATTCAGTAAATCTGGACTTCCACCCCTGCTCTGGGGTTGACCTTGTGGTTGCTGCAATTTTGTGCTGTAGTTTAACTGCCAATTTTAGTTAATTTTATTCACAATCCATTGTCATTACATTCGAGATACTGTGAGTAGTGCTTTACCATTTTTGTGGAGTTTGCACTTACATTATTTTAGTTGCTCCTACAGCAAATTCAGGCATGTCTTCAACTTATATGTAAGGAAGCTGTTCCTCCGATACACCATGCAATCTTCTTCCAAGGCCTTTTCTTTCAGAATATCACTCTACTCTGTCTTTTTTTTTTCTGTCATAGCCTATAACATCATTTCATTTGTTTATTGGTTCATTCATTCATACACTCGTGAATACTTACTCAATGAGTCCCTCCAGTGTGCTAGATTCAGTACCTACTACTGGGGATACAGTGGTGAACATGGTTCTGGCCCTCGGGAGCTTAATGTCATGTCCAGTTGCATTCTTTGGTGATTTTCTTGTCATAGGGAGCAGATAATGATGGAAGACAGAAACAAAAATGACATCAGCACAGCATATCAGTTGAAGAATTTAAATACATTAATTGGGAAGGCAAATATAAGGAAGTTATGCCAGGCCGTAGGAAAAATGTGACGAACTGTATAAGAGAATGTTACTCAGTGTAACTCAGTTATGTCATTCACAGGTGAATCACTCAATCTTAACAAGTATCCACTAAACCTATGATCCTGGGATCATTAGTAGTAAAATGAGGGAGAAGGAACTCCTAAGATCAGATCTGACACTTCCCATTACCACAGCTGTGTGCTCCACCTGCTATATTCCCAAGCTCCAGGGCAATTTGCAGACCATTAAAATTCATTTCTAGGCACCCCACATCCTTCATGAGGTGAATTGCTGCCAACAGTGTTCTATAAAGTTTGGGTTGAGTGAGAGATTTCTTAGCAGCCTGATTTTAGATAATATCACACCTGTAATTAAGGGCAAAGTGTTATGGAGCTTTTAAGAAGCTAGTATTGCAAACTGCATTAGGTCACTGAAATGTGAGCCCAGGAACCATATGGGTAAGTGACATTCGGTGTATGCCATTTAAATACCAAAGCAGTGAAGTGTGTTGGCCTTAATACAGTGAGTGAACGGGGGCCTTGAAAATAAAGCAGGAACTAATTTTCTTATTTCAAAATGAAATGTAATGGGACAATTTTATGCTTAAAAAATTGCCCACCAGGTGCCAGCATGAATATTATACTTTCCATAATATCACTGGCAATTAGTATATCAAAATTGGGCAGCTAACTCTATTTTCTATTGGGTGAACAAAAGAAGATGACAAATGGGTATGTAATAGATTTATTTCAATAGAGTTTAAACCACAATTTTAGTGCTACAACCAAAATAATGTATTGAAATGTGATGTGAGATATATTTTAGAAGTATATATTTATTTAGAAGTAATTGGACAATGGACAGAAGAAGATCCTGAGTACCACTTGATGAATCAAACCCTTTAGTGATTGATAATCTGCTCTTGGATGCTGGGGCGGGGCCTTACATTTCTTTTCTACTTAGTGCTATCTTCTTAGACCAGGGAACAAGTTTCCAAGCCATGTCTTCAGAATAAGAGGGTTTAGGATTGTCTCAGCTGAGTGAGTCACAAGTTGAAGCCAGAATGGAAATGTTAGTTGTTTCATCATTCCTTCACTTAAGAAGCATTTGCCGATGCTTGTCAAATGGTGTGCCAGGCACTGTGTTAGGCCCTGGGAATATAATGGTGAACAAGACTTTCAGTTGTGAACAGAATGTGTTTGTCGTCCTTGGCAGCATGTACATGGGATGGGTCTGTGATCTCTCTGAAAGATGGTGCAAGATAACCTCTTGTTTGGGAGATCATCCTAAGTCCATGATGTTGATAGTGGGTTGAATCAATCTTCCATGGCACTGTTACCTAGAAGCCTAGATGTAGCACCCAGTATTAACTTATCGAGGAAGGTTTCCCAGCTTCATGTAACGTATAATGAGAATGACCCTGAGGAGATACACATGCAGCTTAAAATAATACACCGGAAGTGTTACGGAGGACATAAAGGGCCTTGTACTCACCCTTAGAAAGAGGCATGAATCAGAACCAGAGAAGACATGTTGTCAAGACTGAAGAATCTACTTTCCGCAGAAGCATTTTAGGAACCCTCTTGGCAAGGCTTTCCTACTTACTTGCACTTTATTGGCAATTTCTTGACATTTCAGTTTTAGAACTTTACTCAAACTGAAGACTCTTAAGGATGCCAGAAGGCAAATGCACATAACTTGGAGCAGTAACCCAGAGTCCGAATGAGGTTTTGGATTCTTTCCTGAAAGTCATATGGATAGGGGGACAGACAAGGAGGGCCTTGAGTATGCGACTGGTGGGGTATTGGCAGGTTATATAATGCCAAGATTTTTCCTTTTGATTGGGGTGGTCTAAGGCATGAAAACCAGCGTTTACCTCTTCTACTGCTGTGTTTGGTATGAGCGGTCTTATTGGCCAGAGTGCTCTCTTTCTAAAAGGCAGCTTCACCTTAGAAATGGTTGCTACAGACTGGGCATTTGTCCCCCCCAAATTCATATGTTGAAACCTAATCATATGTTGGTATTGGGAGGTGGGGGCCTTTGGGAGGTGAT